AAACGATAGGATATATTGCTCAACAAAAATGTACAACGAGGGCAAACTTGCCCTAATACAAACATCCACCTTAAGGTAAGAGAACCCACAATAAGGTTAATTGCACCTTCCCCGGCTATCAAGAACTAAGCATCCGGGGAGTTCACATTAACCCTAAGCCCACAAGAACTAATAGTCCAACAGGTACACAAAAAAGATTAACCACTACCACAATCGGCCTAGTTAATTTTCAAAACACTAAGAAAGCAACTAACAGCACAATCAAAGAAAATTAAACAACATAATTATGTACAATAGAAATTTCATTGCAGACCTTCATGGCCAAGTTGATGGTATCCTGCTCAGATCTTCAAATCTTAGAGAAAACCCACAAGTTCCTAGTCTTCCACATCCACCATAGGATGTAAAAGATACCTGAAGCCTGGCTTCTGCAGTTGGAGAGGTGTTTAGTTATCTCCTCTTAATTAAAATTAAGAATGTATGTTTGAAATTGTTTATTATATACAAGTTACCCCTCAACTAAGTCCTTTTTTTACCATGATCTATCGTTTTGTTAAATTGTTAAGTTGTAGATAGGTAAATAAATAGTTTAAAATATTTAAATTCTTTATAAGTATTTATTATGTTTTTTTTATTGGATTAATTTTTTGTAAAGAACTTTTATATATATTAGAATTATTAAATATGATTATATTTTATAATTATAATTATATTAGAAATAAGGATATACTACAAATTAAACAACAATTCTATACCATTTAAAAACTTTATTATTTGGGCTGATTTTTAGGAGATATGTAAGAAATCAGTTTGAGAGATAGGTGGAAGAAAACAAATTTGTGAGCAATAATGGTGCGAGAATATTGTGGTTTAATTTTTAGAGATTTGCTCGTAATTTGTATTCAATTAACTAAATATTAACTATTAATTAAAACTATAAGATAGAATGGGTATTATTATAATATTAATTTTTCATTAAAAATGTTTCAAAGTAAGAGTTTTTTTAATAGAATTTTAGTTATTAAATAAAAATATGAGATATGATGGGTATTAATGTATTACTATTTTGCCCTAAAAAATATGTCAAATTAAAAGCCCTTAAATAGTTCATTTTTTTGGGTTGGATTCACATGAGAATGGTGCTTAGTGAAAGAAATGAGAATACATCATAACAGTCGGATCGCATGATCTAACAGCTTATAAAAAAGCCAAAAATATACCTTCATTAAGGGCATTATTGGAATTTTCTACACTATATTCAAACACATTGGGCCCCAGTCTACATTAAATAATCTATCACCTAATACAATCCACATTAAATAATCTGCCACCCACCCACCCTGCCCATGCCACCCCCTACACTTCTCTCTCACACACTGAAACACACAGTTACACACACAATACACACACAAACTCACGCGACACACACACACAACACACACAAATCGCCTGCGAGAACACACACACACACACCGCCCCCGCCGGCGGTCACACACAGCACACAGTCGGCCATCACATTAACCGCCGCCTCCGCCACGCCATAGCCGCCTCCGTGAATCTCATCCGACTACTCTGTCTTCGTCGGCCGTCTCAGCTCGTCTCCGGCGATCTTCCAACGGCCGCCAACCTTCAACTCCTCTCAAGACAAACATCCGTCGCCGCACCTAATCGTCTCCGGAGACCTCCGTCCGCCGGCCGTTTGGAGGAGATATGGCGGATGTAGGCGGAGAGCTCCGAACGACGCTATCACTGTGAGAGGAGGCAATTCGACCATCTCAGACCACTTAAAATGGAATGTGGTGTTGGGCCTTCTTTTTTTTTGGGAGTTAGATTAAGTTTATCGGTCTATGTGCAATTTAATAATTTTAATTATATTTTAATTTAAACCCATGGGTCAAATATGTAATTATTGAAAGTTAATAAAAAAAATTATTATGCATTTAGATTAAAATAATAAATAAATTATTAAATAAAAATAAATAAGATATTAAAATAATATAAAAATATTTTGTGATAATAATTAAATTATTAAATATAAATAATATTAGATATTAAAATAATATAAAAGTAATTTGTAATAGTAAACAAATTATATAATAAAAATAATAAAAAAAGTTATTTTAATTATTTAGGCTTATTCAATGTACAATTATACACATAATTTTAATGGGAATGTATAAATTAGCTAGTGGTACTTTATATAGAGAAATGTCGCACTTTATAAAATAACATGTTGCACATTATAAAATAATACGTTGCACTTTATCACAACATCTATCTACAAAAAAACACAAGCATTCTAACATACCAAAATTAATACGTTGCACTTTATATGGTAATATGTTGCACCGTATAACACAACACGTTGCACCTATAAAACAATACGTTGCACTTTATCACATCATCTATCTACAAAAAACACAAGCATGCTAACATACCAAAATTAATACGTTGCACTTTATACGTAATATATTGCACTTTATAACACAACACGTTGCACCGTATAAAATAACACGCTGCAAGTACCAAAAATGTACAGTAATTCTGCTAACCGATCGAATAAATTATTAGTCGACTAAATGTTGGATATAGTCTTTTTAAAGAAATATAATAAATGAACATGTCAAACTATACGAAAAAATATTACCAATTTTTTATATATAGTTTTTTTATGAAAAATAATACTATTTTTTGTCTATATTTTTTGTATGTATTGTGAGTGCACATAAATGACTACCAGGTTGCACAAAATCGAACAAGAACCAACAAACATAAATTCGGTGCGAACTTTTATATTTTGTTTCGATTGGATTATTGTTATTATTTTTATTTTGGTTCGAAATTTATATTTCGGTTCGATTATTATTTTTAATTTTATTTTTATTTTTAAAAACTCAGTTATTGGATTTTTTTCAAAAGCTGAAATAACCGAACGATCAAACTATATATTATTTTTTTTATATACAATTAGTAAAATATTATTATTGTTATTATTATTATTAATATTATTATTATTATTATTATTATTATTATTATTATTATTATTATTTTATGTTTTTAGTAAAAATATTATTTTTTCAACTTAAAATAATAAAATATTTAATGATAAAATACTAATTTGAACTCAATTGTAATATACTAAAGTTTATAAAAATTGCTATTAAGTCCTTCTAACTAATCAAATTCTCAAACACAAACCCAAATCTACACTCACCCAACCACCTCCCTCCCTCCCTCCACGGCCGGCGACCAACCACCTCCGACAGTCCGACGGTCATACGTCCACGGCGGCACCACCACCCACAGCTGCCCGTGAAGATGCCGCCACCACTGTATTTCATATTTTTTTACCAGATCCCTTCAGATTCCGGCGACGTCGAGCACGGTGGTGCGACGTCGCGTGAACATCCTCATACGGCCAGCGGCGTCACGTCGTAGAATATGAAGCGGCTTGAATGGACGACAAAAGACACGCTGGTTTCTAGACGAGAGCATCTTTAAGTAGTTTAGTACAGGTGCCGGAAAAGATGAAGCGCGGCGGCCGTCTGTTATGGCACCGATGATGGTTGTCGCTGACAGTGGCACCGGTATGGAGTGTTTGCAGTGATGGTGGGCGGAGAACTTCCGACTATGGATGGTCGTCGGAGGAGAAAGCGGACTGTCGGAGTTTCTTCGGCGGGTGGCAAGGATTGTTGCTGTAGGTGGCGGTAGACGGCGGCCGCAAGTGGGCATGTGTGGTGGTGACGGGAGTTGATCTGTGTATGTATATGTGTTTTTTCGTGTGTTGCAGATGTGTGTACGTGAGTGTTGGAGAGAGAGAGAGTGTGTTTGTGTATGTGTGTGAGAGAGAGTGATGTGTGGTTCACGGGTGGGTAGATGATTGGAGAATGTGTAATGTCTATTTTGACCTTACTTAATGGTATAATGTATATATTTGACCCCAACATGTTCATTTATTTACCATATTGCCATAGCATGTTTGACCATTATTAAAAAAATTGACTTAATCATAACTATTGATATGATTGATCCCATGGTCCAGATTTATTCTTATTTCTTTCACTATCTACCATTCTCATATGATCTCTTCTCCATATTTTTTACCAAATCTTTCTCATTATTTGTGATAGATAGATAGATAGCTTGTGCACTCTATTTCCAGGATAATCTAATTTCAATTTGAAATTTAATTATTAATAGAACCATTGTATAAAACGACCCAATCTTCCAAAACAAGTAGCATGCATCCACATTTCATTACAGCCATTCATAATTGTGTCATGGCGTCGTGATACCTACAAATCAGACCCAAAAAGAGAAAGAACTTTAGAAAGTATTATACTTCAAGAAACCAAATTAATAACAATTATGTATATGTTAATGAAGCTTGATTAATTAAGTTAGGTTAGTTATATATGACAAACGGGGGTTGACGGGTGCGGCCCCACGGACGAAGCGCACCAAAGCAGGGAAGCCCAAATGAAGCCCAAGTGAGGTTCTATCTCAAAACCAATTGGTGGTAGGAGGATGTTGGGAGGAGTAATGTTATAATTTCAATCCCTTCGTTCAAAATGTAGCTCCTTGAGTCTTCTTCCTCCAGTAAAAATTTCAGAACGATCGGACAACGTTTGCCCACCGAATCAGAGAAGAAACCGAACTGCTGCACATGGGAACCCTTGCTGGAATTTTTTGTTTTTTCTCACTCTGTTTTGCACACAAAAAAACCGAATCAGAATAATACCTCTCACCCTATTTTCTCACTCTGTTTTGCATACAAATTGGGTTTTATTCCACATAGGAAGGGACCCCAATAAACCCAACAAATCTCCCCCTTCCCAACTATGTGGAGGATATTGCTATTCCGACAATACCACAACAAACTTCAAACTTGCACCTAGGCAAAGACTTAGTCATCATGTCAGCCCCATTATCATCCGTATGAACTTTCTCAAGCTCAATCAACTTCTCATCCAATACATGACGTATCCAATGATACCTCATTTCAATATGTTTAGATTTGGAATGAAAAGTAAGATGGTTTCCAAGATGAATTGCACTTTGACTATCACAAAGTAAAACATACCTCTCTTGAGATCAACCAAGTTCTTTCAAGAATCTCTTCAAATACAACAACTCTTTGCACGCTTTTGTAGTTGCAATGAACTCAGCCTCGGTTGTTGACAAAGCAACACATTTCTGCAACCTTGATTGCCAATAAATAGCTCCCCCTGCAAAAGTGGTCAAATAACCTGAAGTGGACCTAAAAGTATCAACATCTCCGGCCATATCTGAGTCAGTATAACCATTAAGAACTGATTCGCCACCTCCAAAACAAAGCTTCAAATCTGAAGTACGACGAAGATATCTCCAAATCCGCTTCACATCATTCCAATGTCCTCTCCAAGATTTAGAGAGAAATTTGCTTACTACACCAACTGCATGAGCTATATCAGGCTTTGTACACACCATTGCATACATCAAACTACCACAACAGAAGAATAAGGAACATTCTTCATATCTTTCTTTTCTTTATCAGTAGAGGGACAATATTTCACAGTCAATTTCATATGTGTTGCCAAAGGAGTATTAACAGGCTTAGCCTTCTCCATTCGAAACCTCTCAAGTACCTTCTGAATGTACTTTTCTTGTGATAGCCACAACTTCTTTGCTTTCCTGTCTTTAGAAATGCTTATCCCAGGAATCTTCTTAGCTGGCCCCAAATCCTTCATATCAAAGGACTTATTCAATTCTTGCTTCAAACCTGCAATTCTAGAAGCACTTTGACCAACAATAAGAATATCATCAGCATAAAGCAACAAAATGATAAAATCATCAGGAGAGAATTTTTGAACAAACACACTGATCACAAGTAGTCTTCTTGTAGCCTTGTTGCTTCATCACAGATTCAAACTTCTTGTACCACTATCTAGAAGCTTGTTTTAGGCCATACAAGCTCTTCCTCAACTTGCACACATAATCCTCTTTGCCTTTCACCCTAAACCCCTCCGGTTGCTCCATATGAATTTCTTCACTCAAATCACCATGAAGAAATGCAGTCTTCACATCCATTTGCTCAATCTCTAAGTCAAGGTTTGCAGCCAACCCCAACACAGTACGAAATGAAGACATTCTCACAACATGTGAAAAAATCTCATCAAAATAAACATCTTTCTTCTGACTGAAACCCTTCACAACCAATTGTGCCTTTTATCTTGGTTTGGAATTATTATCTTCCTGCTTCAGTCTATAGACCCACTTGTTCTTCAAAGCTCTCTTTCCCTTAGGCAATGGCACCAACTCAAAAGTATGATTCTCATGCAAGGACTTCATCTCATCTTCCATTGCATGAAACCACTCTTGCTGTTCTACACTTTCCATAGCTGCTTCAAAGCATTCTGGTACTCCTCCATCAGTCAAGAAGGTATTGTTCTTCTAGTAGACCTTCTAAGCTCAACTTCTCGTAGATTATGTGAATTGTCATCTTGCTGACCATCAGCAAAATCTTCATGTTGCAAATTTGGATCACCACCAACTTTCGTAAGCAAATATGGTGTAGAACCTGGATCAATATCAATGAGGTCATCATTATGAGAGGTGGAATCTGACTTCTCTGCCTTCTCAATATCTTCAATGGTTTGGTTTCACAAAACACCATGTCACGACTACGTATGATTTTCTTCTCAACTAGATCATACAACCTGTAACCAAACTCATCTTGGCCATAGCCAATAAAGATGCACTTTCTAGCCTTGGCATCTAACTTGGACCTCTCATCTCTAGGAACATGAGCATACGTCTTACAACCAAACACCTTCAAGTGATCATAAGAGGTGCTTTTGCCAGTCCAGACATTCTCTGGCACATCAATCTTCAAAACAAGAGTAGGAGTCAAATTAATAACATAATCAACAGTACATAAAGCCTCACCCCAAAAGGACTGTGGAAGCTTAGACTCCATCAACATGCATCTGACACGATCCATCAAAGTTTTATTCACTCTTTCAGCTAACCCATTCAACTGAGGCATCTTGAGAGGCGTTTTCCGGTGTCTGATCCCCTGTTGCTTACAATACTCCTCAAATGGCCCACGGTATTCACCGTCATTGTCTGTCTGGATGAACTTCAACTTTCTTCCAGTCTGCCTCTCAACTAGAGCATGAAATTCTTTGAATTTCTCAAGCACCTGATCCTTGGTCTTCAAGGCATAAACCCAAAGCTTCCTGGAATGATCATCAATGAAAGTCACAAAATAAGATGCACCCCCATGTGTCTTCACCTTCAACAGACCACAAACATATGAATGAACCAAATCCAACAAATTTGTTTGTCTATGAGGAGGATTAGTCTTGAAGGATACTCGATTCTGCTTTCCTTCAAGACAATGAGAGCATCTCTCAAAGCTAGAACCCTTAGCTCCAGAGAGAACCTTCTTCTTCACCAAAAAATCAAGCCCCTTGGAACTAATATGACTCAATCTCCTATGCCACAATTCTGTTAAGCATTGCTTCTCCACCTTATTCACATTCACTGAGTCATCCAAAATTGAAGCTTGCAACACATACAAATTTTCCTTCAACTTTGTACCCTTAGCCAAAATTAGAGACCCCTTGCTGATTTTCCATTTTCCATCAACAAAGTTGTTACCATAACCATCATCATCAAGTCTACCAATGGAAATCAAATTCAACTGAACATCAGGAGCATGTCTGACATCTCTAAGTAGCACTGTAGAGCCATTGGTCATTTTCAAGCAAATATCTCCCTTGCCAATAACCTTGGCCATATCATTGTTGCCCATTCTCAAATAACCAAAGTCACCTACAGTGTAAGTGCTGAAGTTCCCTTTTAGGAGAGACATGGACTGCAGCACCTGAGTCACTAAGCCAACTAGAATCAGAAGAGCCAAATTAATATCACCATCATCATAAACAATGACAAGATCAGCACTTATAGCAGTGGCAACACGATCATAAGTGCTTTCTTCAGACTTTTCTGACTTGCTATTATTCTCCTTATTTCTGTTCTTCAGTTTCCAGCAATCTTTCTTCATGTGGCCTTTCTTTTTACAGTAATTTCATTAAACATCCTTATACTTGCCTCTGGACTTGCTTCTACTCTTTCCTCTATTACCCTGACCTCTGTTTTGTTGTCTCCCCCTCTGCTCTGTAACCAAAACCTCAGTCTAAGAAGATGATCCCTGAGTTCTTCTTCTAATCTCCTAATTAAGAATTCCACTTTTTGGCATAATCAAAAGACATTTTATTACCATGAGCAGAATTCGTATGTGAGACCCTAAAAGTCTCCCAAGAGTCGGGCAAAGTATTAAGAAACCACAAGCCAAGTATCTCATCCTCAACGGTAACACCAACATTAGACATTTGATCTAACACACCTTGAAACTCATTAACATAATTAGAGATAGGCATGCCCCCAGCATACTTCAAATTAATCAATTGCTTCAGAAGATACAATTTGTTGTTACCTGTCTTAGAAGCATACATTGTCTCAAGTGTCGCGCAAAGATCTTTTGCATATGTTTCGTTGGTAACAAGATTCCTGACATTATCATCCACCCACATTTTAATGAAGCCACAAACCTGCTTGTGCTCAAATACCCATTCTTCATCACTTTTAGAATCTTGCTTACCGGAACCAAACGCAGATAGATCCAAACTTTTAACAAACAACAAATCTTACATTTTGCTCTTCCACAAATGATAGTTCATGCCATTCAAAGAAACCATTTTGGTAGTATTTACTAACAAACTAAAGCCACCCACCTCTACTCTGGTACCACTCTGTTGGGAGGAGTAACGTTAGAATTTCAATCCCTTCGGTCATAATGTAGCTCTATGAGTCTTCTCCCTCCAGTAAAAATTTCAGAAATATCGGACAACATTTTCCCAACGAATCGAAGAAGAAACCGAACTACTGCACATGGGAACCCTTGCTGGAATTTTTTTGTTTTTCTCACTCTGTTTTGCACACAAAAAACCGAACCAGAATAATACCTCTCACTTTATTTCTGTTGACTTACCACTATTTATAGTGGTCAAAAAGTGGTCAAAAATTGCATTAAAAGTTAATAAAAATTGAGTTTTATTCCACATAGGAAGGAACCCCAATAAACCCAATAGAGGAGTAGCTCACTAGGCTTATAAGTTAGGCCTATTTTCCCTGAATAGACGATGTGGGACAACTCACAAGTGTATATTCTAACATCCCCCCTCACTTGTGAGTCCTTCGGAACCCCAAGCCCAACTGGGCTGGGTGAACCTGCTATGATATCATTACAAACAGGGGTTTACGGGTGCGGTCCCACGGACGAAGCGCACCAAAGAAGGAAGCCAAAATGAAGCCCAAGTAAGGTTCTATTCCAAAACCAATTGGTGGTAGTAGGAGTAGCTCACTAGGCTTATAAGTTAGGCCTATTTTTCCTGAATTGACGATGTGGGACAACTCACAAGTGTATATTCTAACAATATATCTTTAACATTAATCTTATTTATTATTACATATAAGTTCACTGAGGCTATTATACTTCCAAGAGAATGTTTAAGGAAATAGCAAGAGAAAATATCTTAGAAACAAGTAGAGAAGATTTTTATTCTTTCCAAAAAACAATGGTGCACCAGTAGAGTAGATCATGACTAACACAGTTTTGATTAAAATCTCTCACGGCAATAAATCAAATCCCAGCAGTTATTTATAGCAATCAAATGACAAAGCAATGTATGTTCTTAAAAATGAACCTCCAAATCTACTCGCATAGAAAAAAAAAAGTTGCCATTTACCGCATAGATTAAAATTGATTCCCAACAATCTACGATTCTATAAATGCAGCGAACTACTTACTTCCACACTTGAAACGAGATGGCACTTTTCTTCCACACTTTTCAATATGCTGTATGGTGCGCTTAACATTGATCAGAAATGCAACTTTAGGTGTGATCAGAGGACAAACACATTCCGTGTGAGTAACCCTGACACGCTTGCAACATTCTCCTGATGGCGGCCATCCAGAAATTATTGTCCATTTACAGGCCTTATATCCGGCATCCCTCTCCTTCTGGCACTGGGCAGCCGATGGCACCCCGCACACATTATTCATCGCCACAAGTTTTAGTAATAAGAAAATTATGACCAAAAATGACTTTGCCATTGTGAATTTACCATAGCACTGATTATCATTTGTGTTGTAGTGGACTGCATATGGACATTGGGAGTTTATAAAATTGATTGATATTTTGCTAAATCTGGATAAAATAAAAGTTATTTAATCATTATTTTTGTTTGCCGTTGTGATAAAGATGCATGGCCCTCTAAAATGTACCCTTGGATTATATTTATTTATGGTCTGTTTATCCCAATAACCTTTTAATTTATAAAGACGAAGCAGCATATATGTTCGTAGCATATTTAAAATTGGGTTTTCACATTATGAATTAATGCGATATCATTTTTGTGATGTTGAGTTAGATGTCCATTTTTAAGAAAACTAGTCAAGTGCACGTGCGATGCACGTGGTGGCGAATGATTTTTTTCCTATTAAGTTTAGTAAGATAAATTATTAAACATGTGATTGCATTGCAGGAACAAAATAAAATGTAGAACAAGTAAACTCCTAATGTATTTTTTTACTTTAAATAACATAATGATGTCGTAAATTAAAAAGATTTAAATAACATATTACAATCCCAACAAAAAAAAAATATAAAAAATGAGTTCCTAATAAAAAAAAAACACTAAATAATTGAAGAAGGATCTAATATATATTATATCTGCATGAGTTCTTTTATTAATTTGTGTACAGTCATCTATAAAGTTGTTTAAAAAATATTTGCTCTCAGACTTCAAAAGTGTATGGATGTGTACATCAGTGATTCCCAGTCTGCTTTTATCAAAGGGAGGCATCTCATGGATAATGTTATTATTGGACAAGAAGCATTTCACTTCTTAAACAAGCATTCTTCTACCAAACATTGCTTCATGGCCTTGAAACTTGATCTTATGAAGGCATTTGACCGAGCAGAATGGATTTGTGTCAAAAAAATTATGCTGCAAATGGGATTTCATCAGGACTTTGTTAACTTAATTATGATCTGTATATCTACTTCCTCATTTTCATTCAAGATTAATGGTGAAGTCAGTGGGTATGTCGTTCCCACAAGAGGAATAAGACAACGGGATCCTCTATCCCCTTATCTTTTCCTTATTGTAGCTGAGATATTATCTGCTCTGGTTAACAATGCTACTCTCTCTGGCCAAATCACTGGTTTGAAGCTGTCCACAAATGGCCCTGCCATCTCTCATCTGCTCTTTGCAGATGATTCATTATTCTTCTGCAAAGCTACTGTTGATCAGGCACACTCCATTCTCACTATTTTGGATAGATACAGGCTGTTTACTGGGCAATCTGTCAATATGAGCAAGTCATCTATCTTCTTGAGCAGGAAAACTCCAGAAGTTCTCCAAAACAGAATCTGTGCAACCTTACTTGGAATTATCAGACACAGGTCAACTAGATACTTGGGCCTCCCTTCAGGCATTGGCAGGTCAAAGCTTGACACCTTCCAGTATATCATTGATTCTGTTCAAAGCAAGATTAGCAACTGGAAACCAAAGCTGCTCAACCAAGCTGAAAAAGTTGTGCTCATCACAGTTGTGTTGCAAGCATTGCCCATGTTCACCATGTCCTGTTTTATGCTTCCCAAAACTCTTTGTGCAAAAATCTCTCAAATCTGCTCACAGTTCTGGTGGAGTACAAATGAAGATCAAAACCGTGGAATTCATTGGAAAGCATGGAAAAAGCTTACACTGCCCAAAGATTATGGTGGACTAGGTTTTCTGGATCTTCAGCTTTTCAACTCAGCTCTCATATGCAAGCAGTTGTGGAGGATTACCACACAACCAAACCTTTTGGTGAGCAAAATTTTAAAAGATAGGTACTTACCCAACTGCTCACTCTTTGATGTTGTTAAGACACAAAATTGCTCTTGGTTGTGGGCCAATTGGCTAGAGATAATTCCTACATTTGCCAAGGGATATGCAGTAGAAATCAGGAATGGTGAGACTACCAAAATTGATGATGTCAACTGGGTTCCTAGCCTTCTGCAACCTAAGCCAAATTTGATTGACATTGTAAAAGGACATTTAATTTGGGCTAAGGAGCTCATTGATGATTCAGGGGTCAGATGGAATTCTTGGCTGATCAACCAAGTGTTCAATGCATGTGACAGTAGAGCTATCTTGGAAATCAGCACTCTGAAGCAAGGGAAACAAGAAAGGCAGTACTGGAAATTTAACAAAAATGGAGACTTCTCAGTCTCTAGCACTTACTCATTTTTAGCAAACCAGAAACTGCTTGCTTTGGATATCCCTGGTAGAAGCAGAAGGATTGGTCCATGCTTGCTCAAGATCAGACAAAGGCTTTGGAAATGGCACATTGTGAGTAAAGTAAAAATTTTCATCTGGAAATGCATTGTGGGAGCTCTTCCTGTCAAAACAAATCTGCAGAAAAAGGGTTTGTATTGTGATGTTATATGTAGCATTTGTGTAGAAAGGCCAGAGACAGTAAATCATGTCCTTTTCCAATGTCCAAGAGCTGCCAAACTTTGGAGTATTTCTCAGGTCACTTGGAACCTTCAGCCATCTCAAGACTCAACCTTTAGTAGCTGGTGGATGGATATTTGTTCTTTGAGTATTTCAGAGACATCAGAGGCCCGAATACAGCTCACCACTTACAACCTATGGTGGCTCTGGAAGACTCGCAACGTTAGCAACTTTCAACACATCCTCATGCCAATCCAAGTCACCTTGCAGGCTACTCATCAGGATTGGCTAGATTTTGTTCATTTGAAAGCTTAAGTTGGTGTTAGACTGTTATTTCCTTTTGTTTATGTTGTCTTGGTTGTTTCTCTTTTGTTCTGTTACCAGTTGTTTGAGATAGTTGGTGTAGTTTTCTTTTTCCTTGTTACCTCAGTGGATGGTATTTAGTTTCTTTTCGGTTAGAGTTGAGGTTCTAGGCCGCTATATGCGTGTCCTCTCAGTTTTTCTTTTCGATCTTGGTTTGTACTATTCAAACTTTGTTCGCTTTGAGTTTATAATATCTCAACCGTTTTGTAAAAAAAAAAAATTCATTAGTTTTGACATTCTCACAGGAAACATTCATACTCTCGTTGGAGCTCTACACATCAATAGCATTGCAAAATTTTTCTTAATTAATTTAGCAAAACTTTTGTTTTATTCAACACTTAGAAATATTTTAGCCAAACATATAGTCAAACTTCATGATTGTATGATTATTATAAGGTATTTCTACTAATTGTTCATAAATATCTCTGTGAAATAACCAACTATGTCATTAAAATTCTTGATATTTTTTAGTCATTGTATACACGGCTACATTACTCTCTCTCTCTCTCTCTCTCTCTCTCTCTCTCTCTCTCTCTCTCTCTCTCTCTCCCTATATAGACAAATTGGTACCTACCCCATGAGGTGGGAATGAATTTCATCTCTAAACAAAAGTTGACTTTTCAAATCATGTACTTTTCCGGAGACGCTAAATTAATTTTTGAAATCATCACACATTATATGAAAGTATGTACTCTAAAGTAATTGTGGATCTAGCACAATACACAATTAAGATTGTAAATATTCATATAAAAAATTGACAACTTATTCAAACATTCAAAAATGTTTTGATCAGAATTAGACATTTCCTTTCCAGTGTTATTTATTTGAAAGCTAAACGAACTACATAATCTATTATATGCAAATCATTGAACAGTTTGGTTGTTCCATATATTTTAGAGTTGTTTATCATAATATCTTTCTCATTCGTTCGGACTTGCAATATTTATGTGTCTAACTTATATAATGCATTTATTGTCCAACTTTTTGCACCATACATAATGCTTCAAAAATTCAAGATAAATATCATTTCTTGATTCTTCAATAATAACAAAACAAAAATGATAATGATACAATATTGAGAAACATATCATTTGTCAAAATATTTCAGATGAGAAGAATTTGAATTCTAAAATACTATAATACTCTTAGTCATTGTGAACTTTATTATTATTAAGTCATTATTGAAGTTTATCTTCTATATTATGATAATATGGAATTAGTATTTATGAGAACCAATTTCTTATAGATAACATATATTTAAATGTTAGCAACAAAAATATAGTAATTTTAAAAGATTTTTGTTTCTTGATATTGGTATTCATACTTTTCTAAAACAATCATACTTTTTCTTTTGCTCTATTGCATTACAGTTGCTTTAGTTGTTTTTTATTTTATTCACAAATAATATTTTATTTTTTGAAATAATTAGAGCACATTTATATGCATTGCTTTTTTTATTTACATGTAATAATATATTTGATAAAAATGTACTGTTATATTGTTTGTAAGATTAAAAACTTTGAATTTTTTTTTTTTCATTATTTGATAAAATATTAAGTAACCAACTCATTATCATATTCACAAAAAATATATTTTACAACCACTACGGTTTAACATACAACTCATTTATTTTTTCTTTTAATTCATATAGTTAATGTTGGTAATCGTTGTACGTTTACATCCATCTACACTTTTTTCTTAGTATGAATATTTCAAATCTATGCAAGAAAAATATACCACAAGTTTTTATTTGTCATTAACTTCATCTCTTGAAAAATTCCAAAGGGATTGGAGTTAGATTTCAGCATTGTATGTCAACTCATCGTGTTAATGTTTTTGCTCTTCAATGTCAAATGCAATGTGTAGATCAAATATTCAAAATAAGAATACAAAAAAGAACATAAAAAAGATTACAATAAATAAGTCGTGGGCCCGCCGTGCTGTGCACGGCGGTATTCCTCCTAGTGTATAATTATATGATCATCCTACAATAATGTGAGTGACCACTATTTAAATTCGAGATATAACTTTTCTAGTCATAGGGTTCGCATTTTTTAATTTCATGCCTTCTTGAAAATATTTGTGTAGGCATATTAGTAAAAAAAACCATGAACTTATTTTGGACTGTCGCATTTTGTCCACTTATTTGTCTGTCAATGTTGCACAGTTGTATTTTGATTTATAAATGAGTTAGAATCTTAAAAACTTTGAATGAAATAGTTGCAAGGAATTAGTATATGTGTCCTC